CGAATAGTGGGATTGACCGTAACATTATAAGCCCCCATAGCTGAAAGGGCGAGCATGTTTGGTGTGATGGGGATTTCTGATCAGAGTAAGCTACCTACGTATAAATTAAAATCAATCTGATAATAAGTTTGTTAATTAAAAATACTGTCCTTACCTTCTAAAGGTTAGATTGCATTTTTTCATCAGTTGAGTACCTCTACTGTTATCTATATTTTTGGCTGGAATTGTGCTTGATACGGCTGTACTGAGTGCATGCGGATGATGATAAGACACTGTTAATCTAGATTCCATGGCGTAACTACAAAGGAACTTGTTAATTAACACTGTTTTAGGGAGGAAAACTACCACCATATATTTTAAAGAATTTGGTTGCTTCTGTAAAGGTCGGTTCCGAATAATAAGGTTGCGATCCTAAAGCTAATGTTGGTTGCTGTCGAGTGTCACTTTCATACTTGCTGTGGTTCGTTGGTGTGTATTGACAAAAAAGGATTGAGCGTGCGACTTCAAGGAATGAAATGAAAACTGGCGACCAAACTGATAGCTACGCTTATCGCATTGATAATAATTTTACAACAAGTATTCATTCATTATTTTTCCAGGCCGCATTTTTTGTTCAATTTGGGCATGATGGTGAATAAATCAAAATATACGCGACCTAACTAACTAATGATTGAATGTTTGTTGTAAAATTCTCTTTAATGCTATAAGTGTAGCTAAAAGTTTGGCCGCCACTTTTGACTTCATTCCTTTAAGCCTCTCGCTCAATCCCATTTTGGCCGCACCTTTTTTTCACATCTAAGTTGTTTTTAATTAGACTTAGATTAGTCCTAAGACTATATCCTAAGCTAACAAAGCAATATAATCTTTATGAAAAGAAAAAGATAAGTAAATTAAACATTCTAACCATTCCTGTTAATGAAATTAATATCGAAGAGAGAGTGGAGTTACCTGTATCTAAAGTTATGTGCCATTAAAGTATAGACTGAATATATATATATGTTTTACTGTTTATGGTAGGATTCAATGTCAATAAATCCATGAAGTTGTCCATTCACACAAATTTCTGTATTGAACTTGAACTATTTTCCTGAAAATGTTTTGTCAGTGATTTACGACTATAGCCACTTATCCCCAGCATAAGTAAAGATAATTTGCATATTTAGCTATCCAAAATAGTTTATAACGTTTTATACACTTGTTATGGATAAAATATGCCAACTTAACAGTATAGCATATTTTTACACTGAAAATACCAGCTTGTCAGTCACGGAAGCAAAACTGACACAAACTTTGATACCAACAGTACAACTAACGATCACTGTTTTGATGTTTCCTGTTTTATCGTAGCGCGTGTTGTTTGTATTTCAGGTGTTTATTTACATACAAAATCCAGTTAACAAGTGCATTTCTTCACTACGTAGCTGGTGACATCTGTATTATTGATTAATGACGTTAGACAGGATTTAACAAAACTATTTAAACACGCTGTCTATACTGTGCATCAGTTTAAAGCTCTATTTTTGAATAATGGCATGATTGAAATATCGTGAATGAATTCAACTTAGAGAAAAAGATACAACCTATTGTTTAAAATGGATGCATATAATTAATCAGTGAGCAGCGTGAACTTTTGATGTTTTTAATCTTTAAGTTGTATAGCTGGATAAAATATTTTCTCTGATTCGAAACACATCACTACTACATTTTAAGTACGAGTTAACACTGCAGTTTGGCCAGGTGGTTAGGGAGCTCGACTCGGAATCTGAGGTTCGCGGGTTTGAATCCCCGTCCCACCAAACATGGTTGCACTTTCAGCCATGGGGACATTATAATGTGACGGTCAATCCACTATTCGTTGGTAAATGAGTAGCCCAAGAGTTGGCGGTGGGTGGTGATGACTAGCTGCCTTCCCTCTAGTCTTTCACTACTAAATTAGGGACGGCTAGCGCAGATAGCCCTCGTGTAGCTTTGCGCGAAATTCAAAAGAAACAAACGCTACAGTCTAGTTTGTAGGTATAAATTTACATTGCAGGTCCGTCTAGCTTGTCAGGTGATATGCTAGTTAAACGGAAACTAATTTGATTGTAATGTGTGCGTGTGTTTGTAAATACCGAATACATTTAGTGAGCATTTCAACGTATATGGTGTATGTTTTTACCTCCGCTGTCGCTTAAGCAATATTCGTAAATTACCGGCTGAGTAGTTATAGAAAACCTTTGCCTTCGTAGTGGGATTTACCTTTTTTCTGTCTATATATTTTTGAACATCGTGTGAATCCGTGTGTGTTTTTTTCCAAACATCTTTCTGATAAGGACAAAATCTTTATAAAGTTAACGCCGAAAGGCATTTTACTTCAAATCTATGGGAAGTTGAACTTTCTTGTATGCCGACCTCTATAGTAGAGAAATGGAGGAAAATCTTCATGTGGGTGTCACCGTTGGTAATATGCCTAGTTGTGATTTGTTCCGTAATTACGGGTGCAGCATGATACTTGTTCCTGGAAAAAGAAAGAAATCAATAAGATACTGTTGTTTTTTTTTAAGTTACGAGCGATTCCTCTAGTGGAAGAGTTTTTTCTTTCTTGTTTTAAGTATACTGACGAAATCACTATAACCTTTAACCTTTTATCTACCAGTGGACGATGGTTCCTTTGGAACATACAAACTCGTTTGGTGTTTATGATGTAAAATCTCTTGAAGTTCCATTCAGTTGTGAAAATGTGTATTTTAATTTTACTTCTTCAGTTATAAATGTAATTACTCATTTAATTCATAGTAAGTCGTTAATGTGCTTCACCCTCACCCCAACTGGACTCGCATTTATATAATAACTTGTGTGTTTATGTTTGGAAAAGGCAGGAATAATGGCTGATACATTTTATCCTATTTTTTTGTTGTCTACAGGTTTGCATTAAAGAGGGTTTCCTGGCGAAGCAAACGAGCTCTTTTCAAGTAAGGATCATTTCGCTCTGATATGTACTTTAATTAATAGGAAATAATTGGAACACAGATGGAATATTTTAAACTTAGGAAAGTTCTGTATGATCTATTATGAATACGATTACTTGTAACAAAGGGAAAACTTTATCACGAACAGTAGAATTTGAAATGTGAAACAAAATTAAACGAAACACGAGCTAATCCCTTGCTGTTTGGTTATTACGTATTTTTTATATGAAAAACTCTTGTATGAGAGGCTAAGAACTTCATGAGATAAAAAAAGACCTTGGAGTTATTTATTGACTTTGAATTTTTGCGATTTTGTCCTTGTTAACTTTGTATATTTTTAAACGCAATTTTCTCGTTTAAAAATACTAATAAGTTACGTCACTAGGTAATTTCAAATCACGATCTGAAAAATATGATCCCTAAACTTAATCATATCTGACCGTTATTATATTTTGTATCGTAAACATTTGTTGAAGTGGTTATTAAAGATACTTTGTTATTTTAATTTACTTTTTGTTTTTATGTGCTTCAAAATTTATTATTTTACGAAATACATATTTTATTTTTTCAAGAAGAAAGAAATCCAGAGAAAAATTAAAAAGTTAATGTTAATATATTTAACTAATTCGGTTTAGCAAATAAATAAAAATAAAATAAAATACAGGTTAGCTTTCATTTATAAAAAATAAGTCATAACAGTACTTAGATGTTTTTATGTTGTTGCCTGTTATTTTTCAGCGATGGAAAAGAAGATACTTTAAATTAAATCCAAGAAAATTATACTATGCAAAAGATTCTAAGGTAAGTATATTTTAATTACACTTTGACTTTTGTAAATAGTCCGATAACATATAACTCTTCATGACCCGCTGCCGCAAAAACGCGTTCTGCACTTTGGGGCTTTGGGTGTGTTATAAGAATGATAATCAAATCCTAGTATTTGGTCAGACAAGAATTGGCGGTGGGTACCATTAACCAGATGCCGTCCTTCTAGTCTCACACTTGAAAATTAGTATGTTTATATAACCCCTTTATACGAAACTTTCGAAACAAAAAAAATATCTTAATTCTTCCATCATAGTTTAATCTTACATCTGCATATAATTAAATGAGATATTCTTTTGATGGTACCAGGATTATCAATATGAAATATATATACATATATTTATAGTTCAACTTTACTCTTCATTTTTGGATGTTGTTTATTTATCTCAGTCTACTTAAAAACAAATAATCAATGGATGCTGTGAGGTTAATTGAGGTTGAAGATTTTGATCCATATGAAAGTGCAAATGTTTAAAGGATTATGTGAAATACTACTCAAGCATTGTTAAGATAGACAGTGAACTGCAGATTTAATATTGCTGTGGCATATAAATGTTGTCGCTCAATATAATTTCTAATAAATGGTTTGGATGTTTATAAATCATAGATGAAAAAGTGATTAATTCACGAAGATTCAATTAATATCATAGCTTTTATTTATTTTTTATTCTTAATGACATTGTTTTTCAATAGTATAACCTCGAATCTAGTGTGCTGTATGTGTGGTAACCTTGATAATACACGATGAATAAAACATTGGGAATTTTAAAACCTGCAAGTTGGGATCGTAAGAATAGTAAGCAAACAAGGCTGTAGATACTGTAGACATTATTTACTGAAACTACAAACCCCAATTTTGGCTCCATGCTGTTACCTAGAATTACATTTGTTGGAATCAAAATAGGGCTTAGTAGTTTGTGTACGTTTTTACGATGTCTATTTGCCTGTTTATAAATTCCCAATTTTTTATTTATCTTGTTTTCTGGCTTATTTTATGCTCAACTGCGGCCAAAGGATTACTTGATATGGTAGCTAACATTATAGATTGTAATGATGTTAAACAAAGCTAATAGCTAGATGATACGGGTCATGATGATTTACTGGAGCTGTTGACTACTTGATCGCATTAGTTCGATGTGTAAAATGTTAAGCTGCAGCTGGAGGTTGTCATAGAGATTTGTTTGAGAATATAGTGAACATTTATAGTTTTTGCGTAACAAAATTATCTCTATATAACGCATAGCAATGGGAAATATATGCCTAGACTAAGATACAACCCCAACTAAACGCATATAAAATTTACCAGTACAAAGGCAGCCTTTTCAAATAAAACATATTCATCTAAAATATTGCTTTAAGTAAACCTTTGTGTCTTTTTAAAGTAATTATTCTACGAATGTATGTAATAAAAGTTAATATTATGTGTATTGATTTTTTCTTACTCCTTCACTTCATACATAATATAAGGTTTGGCTCCCTAAAGACACCGATTGTATAGTGTACAAAACATTGATTATGTACTGGTAATTCTTGTTTCACTTCACTCTGTACTTAAGCTAACTTCAAGGGGTAATGATAACATCGTTTACACTAGATTTATAATATTTTTTATCTCATGTAAAGTATAAAAGAAGCAAATTGACTTTTCAATACTTTCACGACCTTTGCAGTGCCTAATTTGGTATTTTACAAAAGGTTTGGGTGCAATATACTTGGCCATTTATGTTGTAGGCTGGCAAGAGAATAATAATATTAATAAGAAGAATTACAAACGGGGCGTTTTGAGCGGATTTTTTTCCTTGTAAGTCTAACATGCCTGCTTTTTTGTGCATTTTTATATGTGTACAGTCTTAGCAGTCAATAGTAAAGGTTTTAAGGTGTTGTTTGAATTGAATTTTTACTGTATAAGGTGCTTTTTTGTCCGAACTTTCTATTAGGGTTTTGTGCAATTTCTTACGATCGCGATTATGAAACACTATCGTAGTTCATGTTAAGACGAAAGATTAAGAAATCTACAGTAGTAAGCTTATTACATCAAAGATAAACCCAAAACTTTAGAGTTAATAAGGATATGGCGAACAAAATTGGCCATTCAGTAGCACAGCTGGTATAGGCATATTATTTAAAATTTTTTGACGTTTTTTAATTAAAGTTTTTTTATATTTTTAGTAGTAACGTTGTTTCATTAGCAGCGGGCAGCGGAACCCCCAGTCTGTTGTGCTATCTGTGTGTGTGTGTGTGTGCATGTCAGTGATAACTAAGATATAATATTAAAGGCTAAGTAAGATACGTTTGCAAGAATGTGTTTGTTTTGAAATTTGCAACACACATGGCTTTTAAACTTATTACTTGTTACCTGGTAGATATAAAAAAAACTTTCAACATAAATACAATTAAAATATGGCTGACGTATGTTTTTCTTTTTTGTCACAATACCTTACAATTCAATTGATTTTTAAAGAATACAATAATTGAACTTGAATGTTTAGAAATGAACAGTTTTAACGTGCAGTTAAAGTAATACTATTGTGATTTACAGATGTTTGTCAACTTACACGCTGTTGCAGCCAATAAATTAAACGTTTTTAGCGGAAAACGTAGTATAGTTTTATTTAGAAATAAAGAATTCGTAACGTACAATAAGAAGTTTGTTTTGTTTACTCTACACTGATTTTAGCAACAGCAAAGTACTTTAGGAGAGAAACGTTACAAGATTATATATATAT